TTGCAGGTTCCTCAACAAGAGTTTGACTGGTCTCATTTGACGTTCTCTGTTGCACTTTTGACATCATAGTCAAAAATTACCGAAAAAAATAAAGTGAAACAAGTATTTTACATTTAAAATAACATATTGGGGGCCAGACAAGATGTCAATGAGGGCCACATTTGGCCCCCGGGCCTTGAGTTTGACACAAATGCTATATGCTATAGAGGCACGCGTGGAGCTGGAATATAACATACTAAATGTGCTAAATAATAACAGTAACAATAATAAACAGTATTTCTGTTAGTGGTGGGAGATGTAATGAAGCTATCTGAGCTAAATGAAGCTATCTGGACATTATGCAATTCAAGTTATGTGATTTAAACTTTGTTGATGTCATGAAACATCACATTATTAAAGACGAAAATGAAGACATCGGGTTTAATTTTTATTTAATTTTTAACACCACAAACTGTATGTCACACAAACACTGATAATTAAACTGAACACTAATAAAAACACATCAACTGAACTGTAAACTGCATTAATGAACTGGACCCTTCCTCTCTGTTGTCATCCTGGATACTGGCCCTATGTAATTTATCTGGCTTGTTCAGGCTGTCACTCCTTGGCTTAATGCAGCTTAAAATATTGAATGGATTGGAAAAAAGAACTGAGCGAAATTTTAAGTGAATAGTTGGTCTAACATCTCTCTCTTCGATTCCTCCTGCACTTCCGAGGTGAATGCTATTTCAGAACCGGTCCGCCTCTGGTGGGAAGATAGCATCTCTTCGCAGGAAAAATAAAATTAAAACTCAGTTGGTTGTTGTGTAACCGAAGTAAACACAAGCAAACATTAACCAGAACGTTGATTTACCTGCTGTAGCATTTCTTGATGGCTACTGATTACCATAGAGTGGGAAGCCAGACATCATTCTCGTCAGTGCTCGTTCGCTAAACTACCGATGTCGAACTGTTAGATGAAGCAGTCCTACTTGGTATCAAATCAGTCGACTCATATCCAAAATCCAGCCTCAAGTTTTGTTGTTAGCTGGGCATTTAGCCCAGAGGAAGGACCTTACAGACAACTGTCCCAGGCAGCGCACATGTGCATTATGCGAATGTACAAAATTCACAGTGCCAACTAATGACTTGGCATGGCAACTAGAGCAAATTCGCCAGGGGGTGGGGGATTGGGTGGGGTGGAGGGTGGTCCTGCAGTTAAATGTAAACACCGAATGCGGTCGTGTAAACAAGGATGTTTTTCTTCAAAAAAGTTTTTCTTTCAGCTTCTCCCTTCTTTAGAAGTCACCACAGCAAACTAAGTCGTACGAAGACTTGGCAATTATTTTTATGCCGCATGCCCTTCCTGCGGCGATCACAGACCACCGAGCTACCACAGCCCTCTGTGTGGAGCAGAGAGCTGCTATCTAGGGTGCCCCGGGGAGCAGATGGTGGGGGTTAAGAGCCTTGCTCAAGGGCCTAGAGTGGAGCAAATGAGGGTGGAGACAGGTGTGGGTGCTTCACCTATCCCACCCACATTTTGATGTTGGCACCGGGAGTTGAACCAACAATCTTCCGATCACAGGCCAACCTTCTCTAACCTCTGGGCCACCACTCTCCTTTTTTTTTTCTCAAATCAATATCTGAAAAACTGCCCCCCCCCCCCCCCCCCCCCGCGCCGTGTCCAAGTCAAGGGGGCCTGAAGTCAAACTGAATTTAACTTTCAATGTAAACATCTGATTTCAAATGTATTAACCCTTGTGTTGTCTTTTGGGAGAAAAAAAATCAGAGAGATATTTCTTTTTGCATGTGTTTTTAGTTATTTGTTCATCTTTGGTGTAGTCAGTTAACACTTTTTCTGACAAAGCCAAAAATACGTTGTTTTTCATTTTGTCAGAATTTACTCAAATGCTCTTCTAACCTCACAATAACTTTGCTGCACTCTCATGGTTCCTTAGGAGAAAAAATATGGACATATTAGAATGCACTGTAAAAACAAATTTTGCACAGTGATGGTTGGATATGGACACCAGTGACCCCTGTGACTTAAAAAGGATGAAGCATGTAAAGATAATGGATGGATGAACTATGAGTTTAAAAATATTATTTAAATTTTATTTTTATTTCAGGCTTTGATAATTCTAAAATTTAACTCAGTTTCAATTCAGTTTATAGTATCAAGTCACAACAGAAGTCATCTCAGGGCATTGAACAGAAACATTTGTACTTTGTATATAAAAATAAGAAATTAACAAAAATATTTAAAAAAATATATATTTTTTTTATCTGAGGAGCAGACTGCTTGGAATTTAACTCCATCACAGAACTCTCATCTTGAGCAAGCATGAAGGCAACAGTGGAAAGGAAAAACGCCCTCAAGAGGAAGAAACCTTTAGCAGAACCAGGCTCAGGACAAGTGGTCATCTGCTTTGACCATATGGGTTTGAGAGGAACAGAAAAGAGGAACAGATACACAATGGCAGGTCAAGAATCACATGTTAAGATAGAAATATCAAATTAAATTGTTTTCATTTGATATTATTTCTAACTTAACTAACTAATCTTAACTAAGGAATTCAATTTTAACAATTCATTTAAGAAAATGAGGTTATTTTGTCCTCTAATAGTCAAAGCTTAAGGCAGCATAACAAGTCAACCCTAATTATAGGATTTATCAAAAAGGAAAGTCTTAAGTCCAGTCTTAAAACTGGACAATGTGACAGCATTATGGACAGAAACTGGAAGTTTGTTCTACAAAAGAGGAGCCTGATAACTGAAAGATCTTCCTCCCATTCTGCTTTTGGAAACTCTAGGAATCATGAGTAAGCCTGCAATCTGAGATCAAAGTGCTCTGTTAGGAAAATATGGAACAATAAAATCTGTAAAATAAAATGGAGCTAGATTGTTGAGAGCTTTGTAGGTTAGAAGCAAGATTTTAAATTCAATTCTGGACTTGACAGGGAGCCAGTGGAGAGAAGCTAAAACTGGAGAGATATGATATCTGCTACTAACTCCAGTTAAGACTCTGGCAGCAGCATTTTGGATTAACTGAAGACTTTTTAAAGATGTATTTGGACACCCAGATAACAAACTATTGCAATAGTCCAGTCTAGACGTGACAAATGCATGAACCAGTTTTTCTGCATCATTTTTAGATGTTTCTAACTTTGGCCATATTATGCAGGTGGAAGAAGGCGGTTCTAGTAACGTTATTTGTAGGGATGGCACCCTCTTGTGTTTGGTTCCCATCCCTGCACCTCCTGGTTTCCCTGTCCTGATCATTTATGTCTACGTGTCCTGTCCAGGTGTTTGTGATTGTGTCTGATTACTCTGTGTATATAAGTCTGCGACTTTGTGTTACTTGTTGTCGGGTCATCGTCTGTGATTACTCTGGCTTTATCTGGTCCTCATGAAATTCCGTACGTTTTGTGAGTAATGCTGCCTCATCAGCACTTTTGTTTTGTGTTCATTAAAGAGTTTATTATTTTACTCCTCGCACCTCCGAGTCCTGTCTGCACACTGGGTTCAGACCACAAACACACCGTCCCTGACAGTATGACCCGAAACTCAAAAGAACCCAGCAGACAGAAGACTCGGAATGACCGGACCGCCCGATGGAGAGAGGGGGCAAATCAGACCCAGGAGCATGCAGCTGTCATCCAAGTGAACAGGTTCCAGATCAAACCCATCTGGATACACCACAGCCCTGAAGTTGAGATCCTCCATTCACCACTCCTGGTTGAGGAGGAAAAGAGGAGGAGGAGGACTCAGCCCAGAGGCAGCTGTCTGGAAATCAAGACAACTTCCTTCTCCACCCTGCCACAGTTGTGTTCCCTGTGGTCCTCCTCAGATGACTCCGAGCCAGAGGAGTAGTTCTGGCTCACCAGAGGAACAAACAGTCTCAGGGGCTGCAGAAACTCCTGTACTTGTTGAAGCTTCCATCTCTGCAGATCCTCCAATGGCCACTGGGGGCATTGTTGAAAAAACACCTGATAATGTTGCTGTTGTTTTTCAGCAGCTCCAGAGATTTTTTGATGCTACTTCCCTTAACCCAGACCCTCATTACAGATGTAATGCCTATTGCATCTTGGAGGACATGCTCACATCTAAAACCAGACTGTTGCAAATCCCAGACCTCTCACACGTTTTTTCTATGATAAAGGAAGAGTAAAAAAGCAGAGTATCAGAACATTTCAGACACTCTCCCCTTGTGAATCTGTCATGGCCCCAGGACCTGTCGAGGCTCCAGGATCTGCAGGAGGGCCCGAGACTGCAGCCGAGGTCCCAGTGCCTGCAGCCGAGGTCCCAGCATCTGCAGCCGAAAACCCAGACCCTGCAGCCAAAGACCCAGAGCCTGCCGCAGAAGACCCAGAGCCTGCCGCAGAAGACCCAAAGCATGCTGCAGAAGACTCAGCACCTGCCGCAGAAGACCCAGCGCCTGCTGCAGAAGACCCAGCGCCTGCCGCAGAAAACCCAGCACCTGCTACAGAAAACCGAGCACCTAGGGCCGGGTACCCCGGGTGTCCAGAGGCCTCATCGCCCACCATGACCAGTGAGGCCTCCATGACCACAGAGGCTTCCTTGACTGCAGAGGCCTCCATGACCACAGAGGCTTCCCTGACTGCAGAGGCCTCCACCACCACAGAGGTTTCCAAGACTACAGAGGCCTCCACGACCACAGAGGCTTCCATGACTGCTGCAGCTCCACAGCCTCCAGTGTCACCTGCTGCAGCTCCACAGCCTCCAGTGTCACCTGCTGCAGCTCCACAGCCTCCAGTGTCGCCTGCTGCTGCTCCACAGCCTACAATATCGCTTGCTGCAGTTCCACAACCTCCAGTGTCTCCTGCTGCAGCTCCTTGGACCATCATTACAGCAGCAGCATTCCAGACAGCAGCTGTAGCATCCCAGGTCTCCTCGTCACTTGCTACAGCCCCACAAGTCCCTATGCTGCCTGCTGTGACTCTCCAGGTCTCCACATCAGCTGCAGTTCTCCAGGACACCCCTACAGCAAAAGCTCTTCAGATCTCCAGGTCAACAGCAGCCTCCTGGGTCACCATGTCTGTTGCTGAACCGTGGGTCCCCCCATTTCCCCTCTGTGCGTTGAACGATCATGGACTCTCAGGGTGCCCGTCATTGTCAGCCAACCACTGGACTTGCTGCTTGGTATTGGACGGCCTCCCAGCCACTCACCTGAACTGGCTCGTGATACTGGACGGCCTCCTGGTCGCTCTCCCGAGCTCCTGCCATGTGACGGACGGCCTCCTGGCCACCCACCGGAACCCCTGCTTTATGTTGGACGGCCTCCTGGTCGCCCGCCTGATCTGATCCAGCAAGTTGGACAGCCTCCCACCTGAACCGTTTGTTTCCTTATGTTTAGTTTTTGTGTTTAGTTCCCAGGCGTCGTCCTGTCAGATTTAGGTTTCTTGTTCTTGTGTTTCCTTGTGCCCGCCATCCTTGCAGTTCCCCCCTCCGCCCACCCTAGTTCTTTGGGGGGGGATTTTTGGTGGATGCCTGGGGGCGTCCTTGGGAGGAGAGTACTGTAGGGATGGCACCCTCTTGTGTTTGCTTCCCATCCCTGCACCTCCTGGTTTCCCTGTCCTGATCATTTATGTCTACGTGTCCTGTCCAGGTGTTTGTGATTGTGTCTGATTACTCTTTGTATAGAAGTCTACTTCTTTGTGATACTCGTTGTCGGGTCATCGTCTGTGATTACTGTGGCTTTGTCTGGTTCTCATGAAATTCCATACGTTCTGTGAGTAACGCTGCCTCATCAGCATTTTTGTTTTGTGCTCATTAAAGCGTTTATTATTTTTAGTAAGTAAGTAAGTAAGTAAAGTTTATTTATAAAGCGCTTATCACAGACATAAAATCACAAAGCGCTGTACATAAAATCAGACATAAAATCACAAAGTGCTGTACAAAAAAAATCAATGCTAAAATATACAAAGAATAAAACAAGCCTAAGAACTACAAGAAGCACAGTGAAATCATGACATAAAAGCCTGGGCGAATAAAAGTGTTTTCAGTTACTTTTTATAAACCTCAATAGAGTCAGCAGAACGAAGTTGCAGTGGCAAACTGTTCCACAGTCTTAGAGCCACTGACTGAAAGGCCCTGTCCCCTTTAGTTTTCAGCCGCGTACGTGGAACATCCAAGAGGTTCTGTGACTGGGAGCGAAGACCACAAGCAGCAGAGTATTTGGTCAAAAGCTGACAAAGATACACAGGAGCCTGGCCATTTAAAGCTATGTACGTCAGCATAAGAACTTTAAAACGGATTCTAAACGCGACTGGGAGCCAGTGTAGTGAATATAGGACCGGGGTGCTGTGACAGTATTTGCTGGATTTGGTGAGAAGTCTGGCAGCTGTGTTCTGAATTACTTGTAGACGTGAAACAGAAGACTTATCCAGGCAGGGATAAAGGGCATTGATGACACAAAAGCATGAATAATTTTCTCTAGATCGGTTCTGGAGACCATAGGTCGTATTTTAGAAATGTTTCTTAAATGAAAGAAACAAGAACGGGAAATAGCTTTAATGTGAGACTCAAAGCCTAATGATGAGTCAAATGTGACTCCTAAATTTTTTACTTTTGATTTGGCTACTGGGCAGAAAGAGGCAATTTTCTGATTGATTTTTGGGTGAAGATGACTTGGAGCAGTAATCAAAGTGTCTGTCTTACTGGTGTTTAAAACCAGGAAGTTACTGGCAAGCCAGTCACTGATATGGGACAAACATTGGACAAGGATGGTCAATTTATCCAGCTGGTGTGGTTTAAATGAAAAATACAACTGAATGTCATCAGCATAAATGTGATAAGAAATATCAGAAAAGGATTGAATAATGCTGGCAAGTGGGATAATATAAAAGGAAAACAAAAGTGGACCCAGAACTGAGCCTTGAGGCACCCCACAAGTTAAGGGGGCATAATCAGAGGAGAACCTGTCCGTCTTGATGCAGAAAGTTCTGTGAGATAGGTATGATGTGAGCCAGTCCAAAGCTGAGCCAGAAATACCAGCCACAACCTTCAGTCTGTTTAATAAGGTTGTGTGGTCGACAGTATCAAAGGCAGCACTAAGATCTAACAGGACCAACACAGAGCATTTTCTTTAATCAGAAGCCATTAACAGATCGTTGTGGACTTTTACTAGAGCAGTTTCAGTGGAATGGTGTTTTAGAAAACCAGACTGAAAGGGATCAGAGATCTGTAACTGACAGAACCAGGATCTGAGTTGGGTTTCTACAACTTTTTCAAGTAATTTATAGAGAAAAGGCAGTTTAGAGATGGGACGAAAGTTGGAAAGGGATCCAGAATCAAGGTTAGGCTTCTTTAAGAGAGGGGTCACTTCTGCTGTTTTAAAATACGATGGGACGGACCCTTTGTTCAGGGAGATGTTAATTATCATCAACACTGTTGGACCAATACAGGCTAGAGTCTGAACAAGCAGAGAAGGAGGTAATATTTCCAGTGAACAAGTAGAAAATGTCATTTTGGCAATTAATGAGGTCAGGTCATTTAAAGTAATTGGAACAAAAGAAGAAAATGACTCAGAACACTGAGGCTCATCTTGAAAAATAGAGGCGCTTGGAGATATATTGGATTTCAGGTCCATCACCTTCTTTATGAAAAAATTGAGAAACATGTTACAGTCATTGTTTGAGGTTAATGAAGCATGGTGCACTGGAGGAGATACAATACTGCTGATAGTATCAAATAACACTTTAGGATTGATTTTGTTCAGGTGAATAAGATTGCTAAAATACGATGACCTGGCATCACTAACTGCCTTGTTATAAGCACCAAGGAGCTCCTTAAAATATTCCCGGTGGGCAACCAGACCAGTCCTCTTCCACAAGCGTTCTGTTTTCCGACAAGAGTGCCTGAGTTCTCGAGTTTGATTGTTTAACCAAGGTGAACAGCGGTAAACGGGCCCACAGTGGGTTTTGTAAGGAGCAATACTGTCAAGAATGGTAAGGCAGTGATCATTAAAAGAGTCAACCAGAAGCTCCACATCATCATCATCAGGAGGTGTTGTAAATGAAAAGAGGGAAGAAAACTCTGCGACTACAAAACTGTCAATAAAGCGTCTGGGTTTACTGGTAACCTGAGAAAAAGTCTCCAAATAACAGGAAATATTAAAAGAGACAACCTTATGGTTACTGAAAACAACATATTTTATATGTAGATTATTAAGAGTGAGTCCATAAGTAAAAACCAGGTCTAAAGTGTGGCCTGCAGTGTGAGTAGGCTCAGACACATGCTGTGAGAAGTTAAAAGAGTCCATAATATTAAGAAAGTCCATAGCAGGATGGTTTGTTGGATCATCAACATGAAAATTAAAATCCCCAGAGATGATGATCCTATTTAGCTTCACAGTAGAAGATAAAAAGTCCTGAAAGTCTGAGAGAAAAGATGAAGCAGGTCCAGGTGGTCGATAAACTAGGATGGCATATATAGGCTCAACTTTGCCTATTCGAACCATGATCATCTCAAAGGAGTTGTAAGTAGATGAAGTGATCATTTGACATAGAAAAGTCCTTTTATAGTTGACAGCTGTGCCACCTCCACGGCCTGTCATCTGTGGTACAGATAAAAAAGAACACCCCTCAGGACAGAGTTCCAAAAGATGTGAAACATCATTTTCACGTTGCCATGTCTCAGAAATAAACAAAAAGTCTAAGCTCTCAGAGCGAAAAAAGTAATTTAAAATGAAGGACTTATTGGCAATAGAGCGTGCATTAATTACCGACATTTTAGCGGAGAAAGCTGCTGACCGTGTAGAGGGGTCCACAGCAGCATCAGTCTGGCGTCACAAACAGGATATCGGGAAGGCTGAGCAATATTTAAAACCAAATAAGGAAAAAGAGATTAAAGTTGAGAAAAAGTTGAAGCAGACGCCCGAGGAGGCGTGATTGAACAGAGAAAAAGTTGTACCGGGGTGGGAAGAAGCCCCATTCCAGTTGTTAGCGTTGTGTTTGAGAGGTGGAGGGGGGCACCCTGAGCCTTGGAACAATTCTCTGAAAGCAGATAGTCCGGGTGATGTTTTGATCGCTTTGCAGGCAATAGAGGTCAGAAAGACAGGGCTACTGTGTCGCATGTGAGTGTGTGTGACTGCTTGGAAAATACTGTCAGAAACAGGTGCCTGAGGAGGCGTGAGTTGAACAGAATGACTGATGTGACTTTTGTTGCTCATTTGGGAACTGGATGGGATCTGTCGAGTTGGGACGGTTACATCTGGGGAGACGAGGAGCTTGCTCACTTGTCTAAAATATATAAACAACAGACTGCACAACCCACAGATGCTTGGGTAGCTAGGCTGTTGGATAAAGGTGGAGGTCAGGTAGGAGTGAATTCAGCGCATCGACAGGGAGTCAGAGCTTTGCAAGACTCGAGACCTTTGTTTGAAGTTTACGTAGAGGCAGCCCAACAGATGTTTCCTGGAGCATCGGATTGGGCTGATTTACAGGGGCATTGGGTGACTTTAGGGGAATGCGAGCAAAGATTGGTTCGACTGTGTCTAAGGAATGCGCTCGCTGTGCGTTGGGCAGTAGATTATCAGGTACATGTTTTTTCAAGGACTGATGTTCGAAGCCAAGTGTTGAAACTGGGTGCACTCGGAGATTGGAACACAGAGAGAAACACAGAGCTGAAAACCGTGAAAAAAACATTTAGTCAACCCATGGGTCGTGGGCCGAGAAGGGACGGCCGGAATAACATGCAGGAACCTACTCGTTCTGCTTTCTGGAGGGCATTAATACAGACAGGAGTGCCTTCAGCTGAGATGGATGGTGTGTCAGCAGAAGAGTTGAGGGCTAGATGCCATTATTTGGATTAAAAGGGGCAAAAGTAGAAGGTCCAGAAGTTGACATCAACCTTCTGAAAGCAGATACTGTCAACATTGAACATCAAAGGTCCAGAATTAGAGAGCCCAGATTTTGACGTTAAATTAAAAGGCCCCAAACTTGGTGATATTGATGTTAAAATGCCAAAGGTCAAAGGAGAAATTAAGACACCTGATGTTGACATTAAAGGCCCAAACGTTGACATTGAGGGCCACAAAGAATGAATTAAAATGCCTAAAGCCAAGATGGTTGAAGGGAAAAGGGTGGATTAAAATAAAAATGTCATCAGAGCACTTAAAGGGGATGTGTTAAGCTGGCTGCTTTGAAGGAAGTGCATCATATGTTGTTTATAAATGGTTCATCTGCAGCTGAAGTTGTGAGGGCATCTAAAACAACTCGAAGTATCTAAAAAGATCTGAGATGAAAAAATTCACCATCTTGTTTTGCAGTTGTTTCACATTTAAAGTAAAAGTTCAGCT